AATTCCCCCAGCTGTAAGCCTTTCAACCTTTTAAATATTCCTTTATATGTGGTTCAGAGTTCTGGGACCATCCCCTGAGCCTGCTTGGTCAGGTATTCTGTGTTGTTGCTGGCGGAGCTTTTTACTGCACTTCCAGCTGATCTGCCATCTTGTTTGTTCTCTCATCTTATAATTTTTGCCATAGAACTTTCCGCTAATCATGATTTTTCACATTTTCCTTCTTGTTGAAGAAGTCCATTATCTTACCCTAACTCTTAACGTATACCTCTCATTCACTCTTCCCTCCAGCAAGAATCAGTTAGCAGTAATGAATAATTATGAATATATTCAAGGCTCATCCTATCTTTTCTTAATCAGGAATAAGCTACTATACATTTCAGTGAATATCTATGCCAAAATCTGGCTTACTAATACCAAAGCTTTCCTAGGTTAATCAAACAACTTTAAAACAATCTAAGGACAAAAGGAATAATTTCAGAACATTCAAAAATTCTATTAAATCAAACACCCCAATCTATGTGTATAGTGGTAGTAAGTCATGTTTTCTTCATGGAACTTACAGTTATCTACAAACTAATATTCAACTTTTCATTCATTAATTTATTCAACACATTTTAAATGCCAGTCATTCACAGGTACTGGGACAACTGCTGCAGATTCAATGACATATACAACTTTTACTCTCAGAGACCTTACAGATTAATGGTACCTGAATTCCATCAGAATGTCTGTGAGTATCTGAATAGTATTAATCTGTTTTACTATGCCCATGAATTTTCAGTAGATGAAATTGTCAATCAACACTTTTACTTATGAAAGAGAATCAGAGAAATTCACCAAGAATTACAGTTAGAAGTGGGGCAATTGTAACTGTATGCTTTTCATATACTTAGAATCTCAAAAACAATCATAAAAAAAAAAAAAGGTGACCATGAAAATATCACTTCTAGATGGAAAATTCACAGTAAGTCTTCAACTCAAGCACTGCAAATAGAACCATACCACTCTCATGGTTTTAGTCTTTGCATATTCAGTGCCCCATATTTATAAAATAAAATAAAACAGAAAAAATAAAAACACCAAAAGTTACAGTATAAAACGTATTTTCATTTTACTAAGGATTGTAAATTCCAATTGTTAAAAAGAATTAAACATCCTATATTTGCATCTTTAATAAGAGGTAACTACACTAAAACCTTCAATTTACATAATAATCCTGGTGTGGTACTGTGGGTTAATGTACTGGACTGCAAAGCAGATTTGAGCCACACTGTCAGTGGTTCAAGCTCACCAGCTTCTCCTCAGGAGCCCTATACTGGGTTGCTATGGGTCAGAATTGACTCAATGGCATTTAACAACAACTTAGGTGCAGACCTCTAAACAATTTTAAATCTCACAATAATAAACAAATTTGCCATTGTTTGTTTTCAGTCAAATGAAAATCATTGAATAAGAAATGTTCAATCTAGAAATATAACCAACTTCAAATAATATTAATACAGCAATCTAAGTCCTCATTCTCATTACACTACATCACAATTCAGTTATTAAATTAGAGGTGTGGGCATCCAAATTGCCCTTTGATGAATATTTAGAATATTTAACTCCATCATAGGGTAACCTCTCTGAAAAGGAAGCAGATTTATTAGGCTCTTTCAGATTAATCTATTTTAGGATATCCATTTTTTGTCACTATTCAATCATATGCACTTGTTTATTATTAAGATCTTTGTTGTCTGATAAAACAGGTGCAAATTGCTACAATTTGATTAACTTGACCTATACGTATGGATGTAGTAGCTCAACATATCAACTGAGATGGAAGAAATCTTCATCCTACCCTCTGTACGCAGAGGTATTAGGGACGGGCAACTTGGATATTGGCTACCTAAAATGGAGGGCTATAAAGGCACGAAGTGACTAGCTTACAAGTTCTCAAGAGGGAGTTTAGTTTCAGAGTGTGCAGGGGAAGGTAGAATCCCCATTGAATAGTTTTCATCTTGTCTAGACAGGTCTGGTATAAGGAGATGGGAATAAGATTATTATGATTCAATAGTGAGTAGTTGTTATCATGACTAATTACAATTGAGACAACTGTAAAGGTAGAAGGTTTCCAAGATAAAGGGGCGAAGGGGTAGCTAATCTTACATTCTAGGAACAAAGGACCCTAGGACCATCAAGGGAGAAGAGCATAAGTGGAATGTGGAACCCTAAGCAGTGACACCAGAGATGGAGGCAGAGATGAGAACATGAAGAGAGGGAGCAGCTGAGGACTCTGAACTCATGGAAAGAGAGACGCTGTGTGCTGGCAGTCAGGAGGCAGGCTTGCAGAATGTGCCCTTTGGTTGTTTAAAAGGATTATATAATCCTGAATGTTTTCGTGTATATACCCCCGCTCCCCACCAAAACAAAACAAAACAAAACAAAAAAAACAGAGGGAATAGAAACAAATACTGTTGAACGATGATGAAGGGAGGAGATTTTAATCATTGCAATGAAACAATGACTGTAAACCAATGTTCTCCCATGTAAACTATCACTCAATTCACAATAAAAACTTAAAAAAACAAAAAGATCTTTATTGTATTAGCCCATCTGGTATTTTTCCATATGTTAATGTTTCATTTTGTTTTGCATCCAGTAAAATTTCCTGAAGGAATATGATGTCTCAAGGTATGAAGCTTTGCTTCATTAGCTCTTAATAGTCTTTGGCAGAATGTCTAATTCTAAATTTCATTATTGTCTTATATTTTAAAAACAAGGATTGGTAAGGATGAATGAATTGATGTTGTATCCATCAAAATCCACATTCACGATTTTACATTTTCTGTCTCCACCCAGATCACTCTTCCAATAATATGAGGAATCACACAGAGCTGACTGAATTCATTCTACTGGGAATACCTCAGACCAAGGGATTGGAGACTGTGTTCTTTGTCATCTTCTTATTCATCTACCTCTTCACCTTAATTGGAAATTTACTCATCCTCACAGCCATCATTTCTTCCTCTACCCTTCATACCCCCATGTATTTCTTCTTAGGACTCCTATCTACATTTGACATATTTTTCCCTTCTGTAACTTGTCCCAAGATGCTTTCCTACCTCTCTGGTCAGAGTCGAGCCATCTCATTTAGGGGGTGTGCTGCACAGCTCTTCTTCTATCACTTTCTGGGTTCTACTGAAGGATGCCTTTACTCTGTGATGGCTTATGATCGCTTTGTGGCCATCTGTCACCCTCTAAGGTATATGCTTATTATGAAACCCAGGGTCTGCGTGGGTTTGGTCATGGGAACCTGGTTGGTGGGTTTTCTTCATGCCACCATACTGACCTCCTTAACTTTTCAGTTAATTTACTGTGGCCCCAATCAGGTGGACTACTTCTTCTGTGACATCCCTGCTGTCTTACCACTGGCTTGTTCTGATAGTTCCCTGGCCCAGAGGGTGGGATTCACTAATGTTAGCCTTCTGGCTTTAATGCTTTGGCTTAGTATTTGTGTCTTCTATACTCATATTGGGATTGCCATTTTGAGGATCCGTTCAACAGGAGGCAGGCAGAAAGCTTTCTCCACCTGTAGTGCCCACCTTGCTGCAATACTCTGTGCTTATGGACCTGTAATCATCATCTATCTGCAGTCCACACCCAAGCCATTACTTGGTGCTGTGGTGCAAATACTAAATAATATTGTCTCACCCATGCTGAACTCATTAATCTATTCCTTAAGGAACAAGGAAGTAAAAAGATCCCTGAAAAGGGTGTTCCACAAAGTAGTACCTACTGTACTGGAATAAATTACGAGTTTAAACATGGGTTTAAAAAGCAGATTGACCTTTTTTCCTTCTTTTAATAAACACTTGTAAGTGAAAAATAGAGATGATTTTTCTGAAAGCATTATATTGTATTAGAGTACTATGATTTTCTGCTTGTGTGTCTCGGTTACTCCTGTTACTCCACAAAAATCTCTGTATCTAACATTATTCTCAGTGCTTAAAGTCTGAATAAGGAACCCAAGTGGCATAGCAAGCAGCTAGAGACAGATACCTTTTCCCTGTTATCAGTATCTACTTTTGTCTGGTTGGAGATAGTGAAGATTTCATTAATTTTGTGTGTGTGAGTGAGTGTGTGTGTGTGTGTGTGTGTGTGAGTGTGCTCCATGTGAAATGCAATTGTTTACCTTTTAGCGTGTAACATTTGTATTTTGTCTGTTATTCAGAATAGTATTAACTATAAGTTAGTATTTAAACTAACACTATCTATGATGATTGTAAGGATGGCACAAAACCAGACAGTGTTTCCCCTGGTGTACATAAAGTCATGGTGAATTAGATGTGAATCAAGACACATAATAGTGACAACCTAGAAGGTAATGTTTGGAATTTTCAGAAGAGAACTTTAAGGATTAGTTCTGGCCTACTGGCCTACGACTGGTTCCTCTTTGGACAAATGTCGGGTAGATCGGCTCAACAAAGGAGAGGAGATATTCTTCTTCTGCTTCAATTTTTTGAAGCATATCACCTCCGAGGAATTCTGTGCTCTGAAGACACACAGGAGGAAGAGTTTGCCAGCCCAGGATGCAGGACTCACCTTGGAAGATACCTGCATGCTGAGGCGGAGGGACCGTGGCAGCACCACCTGCGTTGGCAGTAACTTCTCCCTGGTCATGGAGAGCTCTCCAGGAGCAGTTGGGAGCATCACCTATGAGGCTGTGGAGCTGGTCCCTGCAGGAGCACACTCAGACCTGACTCTTGGAGGAAGAGTCACTCATCCTCACCACAGTGTGCTCTGCAGCAAGCCACAACCCTTGGAAGATCACCTACCTGCCCACCCGGGACTGGGAGAGGCCAAGTCCTCCAGCTCCTCATCCTTGAACCATTCTGACTTTTTCAGGCTGGGTAGCAGTCCCCTGGAGGTCCTTAAACCCAGGCTGGCCACCGTGAGTGATCCGGACACCAGGCTGCAGGAAGTGCTTTCAGCCTTCTTGGCTACTTATAGCAGCAGCACAGTGGGGCTTCGGGCTGCAGCCCCCAGTCCCTCCGGTGCCATCAGGACCTGCTGAAACAGTTCGTCCGTGGTGTCGGACTTCGGGGCACCAGCAGCAGCACCTTGTGAACTAGCCAGCCCACAACAATTTTCTGCTCCCCTCCCAACTAACTGAGCGCTGAGCGGAATCAAAGCCATGCCTAATCAAGGGAGACTGAACAGAGGGAAGCCTCCTCAGGCCCTTCTCCTATCCACGTGGCAGCCCCAAAGCCAGAGCAGGGCTCCTGACTGGTAGTGGCCATTCATCCACACCAACTTTGGCAAGAGCCCCCATCAATTAAGAATTAATTCTGTGGGGTTTCCCTGGAGGCGGTGACTACAGAAGACACCCCTACTCAACCTCATTCTTATTTTATGAAGAGGAAGGGTCACCTGCACCGAGAATGAGATGATTTGACGCGAATCATAATAAAATATCTTTTTGAAAGGCTGAAAAAAAAAAAAATTCTTTGAATAATGGGCCCAATGGCACACATTAAGCAGCAATGCAGGCCTTGAATTCAATGCCATCACACTCCAAAGCTCCTGCTCTTAAACCCACTACCACACTGCTGCCCTAAATGTTGCAGTCTAGAACACTTCATAATTTTGTATTTAATAAGTAACTTACGAAAAGCACATGACAGGTTTTTATAGTCCCCTTACTATCATCTCCATTTATTCTGTTCCAAAACCCATTGTATAAGGAACCCTGGTAGCATAGTGGGTTATGAGTTGGGCTGCTCACAACAAGGTCAGCTGTTCAAATCTACCAGTTGATCTGTGGGAGAAAGATGAGTGCTTTCTGCTCCCATAAAGATTTACAGTCTCGGAAATCCTAAAAAAGGTCACTATTAATCAGAACCAACTTGACAGTACATGTTCACCACCAATTATATGAAGTCCTGGTATGGATGAACACTGAACTGCTATTCACAAGGCCGGAAGTTCAAACCCAGCCGCTCTTCAGAAACTCTGTGTTGTTGTTGTTAAATGCCATTGAACTGGTTCTGACCCATAGCTACCGTGTATAGGGTTTCCGAGGAGCATCTGGTGAGCCTGAATCCAGTGCATTAACCCACAGCACTACAAAATCTAGACAGGGTCGTTATAAGTCAGAAACAATTTGATTGTACTTACCAACAGCTACAACAATCCATTGTATAGATGTTGACACTGAGATACAGAAATGTATTTCTTTCCCTGTATAACACAAGTTGTCATGGTAACCATTCATCCAAGGTCTCTTAACTACTACTGTAATGATTTTATTGCACCAAGTGTCCATATCCCAAATTATTCTTATGTAAATAAGTAGGAAAGCCCTTCCAATGGTGCACTAAGAGTAGATACCTAATTATAGGATCCAGTTTATCTACCAAAATATATTTTCCAATTTGAGTCTAACAATGCTGGAGTTCATCATTATTTTTCAATTCTCTCCAGAATCCAGGGAGAGAGAAGAAGAAATGATATCTACCTGGGGTCCCACAGACACACCAGATTTGAATTTTTTTTATGATATTTTTGTCATTTATAAATTTCATTTTCACTCCCCAGAGTTTATCTCTTATAAGGAACCCTGAAAACAAAAGAAAAAAAAATGAAAATCTTTAATAAAATCAATTGCTACCATGAAGGAGCTCTGGTAGCATAGTGGTTACGAATTGGGCTGCGAACCACATGGTCAGAAGTTCGAAAATACCGGCTGTTCCACGGGAGAAAGATGAGGCTTTCTGCTCCCATAAAGATTTACAGCCTCAGAAACCCTGTACAGGGTCGCTATGAGTCGGAACCGACTCCACGGCACATAACAACAACCATTACAAAATACATGAGGCAAGAGGGCAAAACAGAGACCATTCAAACATAGATAAGTGCTTTGAGATGCAATGTGAGTGTTCTTTGGGCTCCCCTAACTTAACTGACAATTCAGATCACACAGACTCTGATGCACCACATTGGGTTGTTGTTGTTAAGTGCCATAGAGTCAGTTCAACTTGTAGCAACCCTGTATAGGGTTTCCTAGGACTGGTTGGTGAGTTTGAACCACCGACCTTGCAGTTTAAGCTGATCTTATGTCTAGTGCTTATCCTACAGTACCACACCACAACTCCAATTTACTACTGTACTAAAGCTGGATAATGGTGGGAGAACCCACCTGCCATGCATGGTATCTGACAAAGTCTGAATGCTGTTTATGGGTAAATCTTCATTACGCTTACAGCTATTTGCTCAATCGTTTTCTCCCTAGAAGATTACAAATTTCAAAGGAATAGAGATTATGCTTGTTTCATTCACTGTTTGTTGAATGAATGGTCAATAAATTACAATGTAACTACATATTTATTAAACAGCCCTGATAGCATAGTGGATTACAAACTGAGCTGCTAACTGCAAGGTTAGCAGTTCAAGTCTACAAACCACTTTGCAGAAGAAAAATGAGATTTTCTGCCTTCGTAAAAATTTACAACCTCAGAAACACTATACAGGATTGCTATGAGTTGGAACCAATTCGGTGGCATACCACCACCAGCACCACATATTTTTAGCATGAAAAAAACAAACATGCATGGAATATTTAGAGTACAGAATAGCAGCATACACAGAATCAAGTGTATATCCACATTTAAGTAAATTTGAATACACACAAAACTGAAGCCTGAATGTAAGCATTTTTTATCCCTTCTAAATCAATGTTATAATATGACTTTCTAGCATCAAACACAAAACAAAGAAACTTTTAATAAAAAAATGTAAATATCTCCTAAAGGCAAAACTTCTATGAAACATCTAAAATTAGGTTTCATTGAAAACACACACCAAATGAAACCTGCTTCAGTCAATTCATTCTAACTCATGGTAACCCTGTGTGGTGCACAGTAGAACTCCTCCAAAGTGTTACCAATCCCGGTCTCGCTTGACACTATGCAAGCACACACAGAGACTAAGGTGAAGGAGGAGGGCATACAGTCTTTAAAACATGTAATAAATTTTATGAAATTCTAAAAAAAAGACTATACAAGTATAGTGGCTGTGTGCCGTGGAGTCGGTTCTGACTTATAGTGACAGTGACCCTGTATAGGGTTTCCGAGGCTGTATATCTTTACGGGAGCAGAAAGACTCATCTTTCTCCTTCGGAACACCTGGTAGTTTCGAACTGCTGAACTTGTGGTTCACAGGCCAATTGGTAACCACTACACTAGATCTCAAAAGGGTTTTCTAGGCTGCCATTTTCATTGAAGCAGATTCCTACAGTAATTAGATTGCCAGCCTTTGGTTAGTAGCTGAGATAAAACTCTTTATGCCATCCAGGGACCTAAAATACACATACACATCAAAACACCATTTCATAAAATCTTAACCCAGCCTTTATTTTAATCTTCAATATACCCTGCATGAGAACTAGTTGCTGTTAAGTGGATTTCAAGTCATGGTGACCCCACATGAATCAGAGCAGAACAGTTCTCCAAAGGGTTTTCGATGACTGATTTTTTGGGAAGTAAATTGCTGGCCTTCCTTCTGAAGCACCGCTGCAGTTTCGTATGTCTTCAAATGGATGCAAACCTCCAACATTTCAGTTAGCAGGCAAGCATTTAACTGTTTGCAATACCCAAGAACAAATGATAATATTTTTTATTTTGTCTTCATATCCTCCAAAATTCCTTTCACCTAGAGAACTTTGGAGTCCTGGTGTGGCACTGTGGACTAATGCACTGGACTGCAAAGTCAGTTTGATCCACAAGGTCGGCGGTTCAAGCTCACCAGCTGT